GTAGTAGTAGTAGTAGTGGTAGTAGTAGTAGTAGATGTGGTAGTAGTAGTAATAGTAGCAGCAGCAGTAGTAGTAGTGGTAGTAGTAGTAGTAGTAGTAGTAGTAGATGCACTAGTAGTAGTAGTAGTAGTAGTAGTAGTAGTAGTCGTGGTCAGCAACAGCAGTACTAGCAGCATCAGCAGCAGCAGCAGCAGCGGCACCAGCATCAGGATCAGGAAAGCAGTGCTAGCAAGCACTGTGCCGGTGTAGCTGTAGATAGCATAGGCAAGCACTAGGTGGGGTTCAGAATTTTGTACCTTCGAAATTCGAGCCCACACATCTGCGCGACTGTCGCAACTGACGAAATCCAACTAATGTCCCCTACTTTGCATCTGCTTCCTGGTGCAGATACTGGATCCCTCGGAATCCCTCGAAAAGCTGCTTCTTCAAACTTGCATTGGTTCGCTTTACTTGCACTCAGCACTGCACTCAATGGCCAACTCAGGCCGAATGCTGCCCAGCTGTTTGGGCCGAATCAGCTGCGCCGGCACCGTTCAAGGCGCACTGCAGCATGCGTGACGTGGCACGGAAGACAGATGTATGACTTGTATGACTCGTGACGCGACCCACTTCTAATACCAGAGGAGCATAAGCCAGCTGATACTATAGCAGACACGAAACCCTTGTATAGTCATTAAGAATAACATCACACTGAGGGCCTGATGGTAGCCAGGCGCTTCGCTGGCGCAGAGCCCCGAGGGGTCACCCCGCGCACGGAAGGCCTTTTCAACCTGCGCAGTCGTCCACGTAATCCTCACCCAACTGAGTCTTGGATTGTCCACAACGGCGACATCAGCAAGAAGCTGGGCCCCACTACTCCTGCCCTAAACAGGCGGTAAGGCTCTGCCCTGCTACCCCGCATCTACATACTGTTGGCATCGTGCTGCCAGCGCTAAATGATATGATGTGTGCATACTTGTCCGTGTTGCCAGCTTCACAGTGACAAGCCGATTATCTGTAGAATGGATATAGCTCCAGAACTCCCTCCTGCTGTTGTGGTAAATGTAATGGGGTGCTTGGAACTGGGTGTGGAATTCGACCACCAAGACGGTGATAGTCGTGATTACAGCTCGAGCTCTCTCGTCAAGTCAAGCATGTCAGCTGTTCTCAACGGTTTGCACATGGAAAAACTCTGCAGCCGATCTAGGCATGGAACCAAGTGCCGTGTAGTAGACTTAATACATTCCGAACCAACCTAAACGGGGAACCCAACTTTCAGGTCGCCTCCTCGAAGCCTTCCCGTCCGCCCAGGATCGGGAAGCAGTCGTGAGATGTGAGAATCACAGCCTCGGAATTGCCACGACGTGATGCGCCACGACGTGCTGCGCCCCCAATCTCGCCATGTTTGGATGCGGCAACACATTTGCAGGCCTCATGTGAACTCGTACAGCACGCTTGCATGCACGGTTGTCAATGAGTGATTGTGAGGACAAAGCCGCAAGAGCATGCCCTGCGTGGCTAATCAGGCGCAGTGAGCCTGTCTTGGTGGCTGGCTGTCGGCTTCGGTGCACGAGCGCGGAGTAGATCTGGCTTGTCAATACCATACCTAAGCTCCAGTGGCGCTTGGCTGGAAAGCTCGTTTTCGGATCTTTAACAGTAGGGCTCAGGCAAAGCCATCTTCCACAGGATTTGCTCGGCATCATAGTTACCTGAGAGACCGCCCCAGATACAGTGATGCGCCCACGGCACTTGGGTGCCTCTACAGTCAGGCAGTGGACCTTCCTTACCTTGTGTCCAAGGCTGCTGCAAGTGCCTATCTCCAGCTCGCGTCCTGTCAGCGATCCGATGGCAAAGCTACGACATCAATATAGGCATACAGGTATTCATATACATGTGCACAACATGTGCATATACATACACCTACACATGTACGTAAACAAATACATATGGGTATACGTATACCAATAATTACATAGACATATGCACAGACCCAGACATGTAGACATGTATGTACACATACATATACATACACATATAGATGCAAAATGCAAAGACATACCTACACATTCATACACACATACATTCAGACACACATACAAACATACAAACATGAATATATAGACACACATAGTTACATACATACATACATACATACATACATACATACATACATACATACATACATACACACATACATACATACATACATACATACATACATACATACATACATACACACACACATAACACACATGCGCACGTACATACACACACATACACATGCATGCATGCATGAATACATGCAGGCAGGCAGACAGACAGGCAGGCAGACGTTTATGCGACGCCTCTCTGAAGTCAAACACTTCAGCTGGTGTTCTACATGAGGGGTTCAGTAGTTTCAGTAGCTTCACAGTTTTCAGTCGGTTATATAAGCGCGTAAAATAGAAGTTTCACACACACACACACTATCACACACTCCAAAAGGTTTACAATCTTCCCTGCCAACCCTCACCTCCAAAACGTTCGGACTGCCTTAATAGTTTCGATAGTTTCGCAAAGCCTCACTAGATGTTCAAAATTTTGATAGTTTCCCGGCCCACCCGCATCTTCGAACTTTATATAACTTTATGAAAGCTTTAGATCGCTCAACCAAACGCAAACCGTCCATACTTTCAGTAGCCCGTGGCCCTAAACGTAGCGATAGATTCAGTAGCTCCAAAAGCTCGCAAGCCGAAACAACTAAAGCTTGCAAAAGTGTGACCGACCCTCAACCCCAGCTCCGAACCAATTGAAATGCTTAAGGGAATTGAAAGATTGAAAAGTCTCAATAGTTTCAATGGGCAGACTTCTCTTTGTTTCCGTCTCCCAGAGGTCTCTAAGCTCAAGAACTCGCATTGCGAGACGCGTGTGGCCTGTCCATGGAGCAGGGTTTCAGGTGTATTTTAACATATTCAAAGGCTTCAATGTTCCTGTTAGGTTCAAAAGCTTCAAAAGTCTCCAACACATTACACGCTTCACAAGCCCTAAAAGTGTTGCAAGCTCCGTACCCACCCTCACCCCCGAAACTTTCAAGTGCTGAAAGCTCTTGAATCTGCTGAAACATTTGAAACCCTGCCCGCCCTCACCTCCGAGGCTTTTACAGCAATAAACACCCATTGAAGCGGAAACGGCTCAGCATGTTGATAGTTTCAACGGTTTCAGCAGATTCGAACAAATGTTTTCAAGGCGACAGAACTTACAAAAGCCGTCAAGGTGGTTCGGGGAGGGTGGGCAGGGCTTCAAAGTTTACTTGCTTTGACTTGGTTCTGACCGTTTTGAACGGTTCGGGGGTGTTGGCAGGGTTTCAGAAGTAACAATAAGGCTCAATCGCTTCAATAGATTCAAATTTGTCAAAAGTTTCGGTGATGAGGGTGGGCAGGGAAACGATCAACGATTAAAAACAATTCAAACTGCTAGAAACTTTAATAATTTCAGTGTTCCGAAAGCTTCGACAACAAGATTCAATAAGAGGTTCAGGGGTGAAGTTGGGCAGAGGTCAACAGTCATGCTTTTTCAACTTCAATAGTTTCAAAAGTCTTGAAATAAAACTTTCCAGGGGTGTAGAAATCTCAGAGCTCCAGCCCACGAGCAGGAAGCCCCCGCTGAGTCAGCAGGCTTCGCACAAGCAAGCATTGCTTTGGTAGACTTCCCTTTGTTTTCCACTTCCTGAAAGCATCGTTCCATCCCTGTTGTCGCAGATGTCCCTTTCGAGTTTGGCTTGCTTTCCAGTAACAATTCCCTAATTTCCCTTGAAACCTTCAAGATTCCCCCTACCTTTTTACTCGAAAAATTGTTGATTTTCGCCTTATTTCCCTCCAGTGCTGGCAGCGTCTCCGCTGTGGTTCCTTTACTTGTTCCTTGAACTGTCTGGGTTGATGATAGACTTTGGCGCCATCGAAGCACTTGCAATGACCACAAACGGAGGGCGGGTCGACTACACCCGCCCTCCTGCAAGCTTCGTTTTCAGTTTGGATAGCTATCGAACCGCTGCGTGATTTGAACATGAAGGCAAGGATGGGCGGTTCGAAAGCACCAAGCTTTCTGAGGTGCTCTCGGCAGGTACGCGTGTCTTGCACAGGCCAGGCCTAGGGTGGAGAAGTAGCATGCGACAGCCTTTGCCAAGGCAGTGCCACACTTTCAGGGCCTTCTCAGTTGATAAAGCCGGAGTGGTTCTTTCGAGCGGGATCAGGAATCAGTGCCAAGGCCCCGGCTACTGCAGTCACTCTCGGGTCGATCGCACCAAGATACGCACTCAGAGCACCACCACCTCTAACAACTCACGCGAACGAAGTGTCACAGGGACAAGCGACACATGGTACTTGGAGATGGACCGCTGCACCCAACGACACCGATCCTCGAGGCATCGACGAAGGGAAGCTCCTGAATCGGATCCGGGCGATTGTGGGATAGGGAGACAATTCTCGACCGGCCATTGTCCGAAGGTGCCGCAGCAAGCTTCAGTGAGTGCACAAGTGCAGTCTTCTTCTTAACGTCGCATCCGCTCCGTCAGAACATCGAGGGCTCGCTGCGCATCACCTCGGAGCAACGCTTCAAGCTTTGGCCGTGGCATCGCATGCCGAAGAGGCACTCTTCCCTTCCGGGGCCCCCAGCGTACGAAGAGATCTTGTGCTCCCAGACCCAGGAGCCACAGCTGCTGTCCTCACGGCAGCAAGCCCATGAAGGAAATCTCGGAAAGAGACGCTCCGCTGGGGCACCCAGCCGAAGTGATTGTGAGCTGTGGAACAAGGTGGGCCGACCTTGGGAGCAGGTGCACGGGGAACAACTTCCAATTCAGCTTCTCTTCTTGTATTGGATCGCCAGTAGGCCCCTTAGTGAGCTTTGGGGTCCGAAAGACCTCCGAGACACGTCAGAGACACTGAGTGGCCGACGCTCGGGCATGGCTCCGCACTATCTGAGCTCAAGCAACAGAATCTATCGCTAAATACACTGGCGATTGCTGTTGCAAGGAGCTAGTCACGAAGATTGAACCTCACATGGCAGACAGTTATTTTTGGACTGCAGCAGCAGGAATTGCTTGCTCCATCCACACACTCTCGCTACATCGGGATCGCTGAACGGCTCAATGTGAGACGGGCAAAGCACCTGATCCTTGGCCGGCGTCATGATCGCCGATGCACTCTGCAGGTAGGTGTAGGTGCGCGTGTGTGTGTGTGTGTTGTGACTGTGTGACTGTGTGGAGAGAAAACATGCCTGCATGTGCATATGACCATGTAAGTATAGATGCACGTTCCAAGTACCTACCGACCTACCGACAAGATACCTCCATACGTAACTGCCTGCCTCCCTACCTGCCTCCCTACCTCCCCACCTCCCAACTCCCAACCTACCTACATTCCTCGCTGCCTACCGGGCTGCCGCGTCTGCCTGTGTCGATCGAGCGACGTATTTGTCATTTGTCGACCATCGATCTACCTCCCTGTCTACCGATCTACCCATCTCTTTATCAATCTATCACTCTATCGATCGATGTCTCTATCGATCGGTCAATCTACCCGCCTACTTACCTACCTACCTATTTATGTATCCAGCGATCTATTTGCTTATCAATGTGTTTCTCTACCTCTTCATTTATCTACCGAACCATCTATCTATTTACCTACCTACCTACCTACCTATCGTCCGATCTAACTTGTCTATCTACCCAGTACCTTTCCTTCTTTCCGTTTATTCACCTATCGATCGATCTATGGATCTATCGATTTATCGATCTCTCTCTCTCTCTCTCTATCTGTCTGTCTGTCTAGCCATCTATCTATTTGCCTGTTTATTTCTCTATCTTTCTCTCTATCCATCCATCTGGCATTTCCAGCTGTCGATCTGTCTGTCGTCTGTCTGTGTCTTTCTCTGTCGACATGCGTCTGTCCGGCTGTGTCTGTCTGTCTGTCTCTGCCCATTAATACAGGCATGCAAGCATGAATGCATACATACGCACAGACGTACTTACACGCGCACGCGACCGCGCAGGCGCGCACACACACACACACACATGCACGTGCATGAGTATGCGTGTGTAGATGATATGAGTATTCTGTGTGCATCTCGGATTGGCCCTGGCCAGCTCTTCGCTTTGTCGAGGCGCTTCCCTCAGCCCACCTATCGAGACCTTGCGTTGTTGAGCTGTTGAGCAGAGAATAACTTTCATAATCGTGACCATACGCATGGTAGTGCTGCTACCAGGTGCCACTACTTACCTACTTCTTACTATTGTGCTGCAGCTTATTCGGTCTTCGAAGGCGTCTCGAGAGGTGGCCTCTGGGCGCGGTGGACTGCGAAGCTTCTTCTCATGCTCTCGGGGGAGTGGCAAGCCTCCGCTCTTGCAGAAGACGCGAAACACCCAATGAGGCACAGCGTGAATGCGAGCGAACCACAGCACCAGGCGGCCTGGCCTCGCCTTCAGTCGCAGAAACGACGAGCCGAGGAGCACAGCGAAGTGGAAGAGCGGTTTCCAGCGTCGCCTCCAGCTTCTCTCAGAGCCTGTACGGCTTCATCGTCATGCCTCAGCTAAGAGCCAGGAGCCAGACAGGAGAAGACAGGAGCCACTTGGAGCTCTTCAGGTCTTGCAATGTCTTGCAGTCGGGCTGCTCACCGGAGTCACCTCCTGCTCGATACCATGCTCCTCATACAAGCTACTGTGGCTACGCCGGGCGAAGCCTGAAACGCGTAGAGTTCTTTGCCGTCCTTGAAGATCTGCTGCAGCTTCTTCTTCGCTTGAACCTCGTCCTGCGAAAGACCAGACACTCCACGAGAAGGACCGATGATCTTTTCGCCGTGTCACATGTCAGGCAGCGCAGCGTGGCCGGGCATCAGCAGAAGAATATTCAAACATCATGTCGGCTACACCGCACGCAACTGTCGCCCAAAATCTGCAAGCCCAATGTCCACTTCGGACAGCTTGGCGATGACCTGCAAGATTCAACGAAACAAGTGCGAGCTCATGAGAAGACGCGGCTGGGCAACACCGAAACGAACAACACGACTGTTGACCGGCACATGTGCGGACGATAAATACAGCAGATAGAACTGTGTGCATGCAAATTGCAAACATGACCCGTATCCTGACAAAACCAGCTGCTTGCAACCGGCGCCACTGCATCTCCATCGGCAGCGGAAGCTGTCTTGGACATCACGTGGATAGTGTACTTGCACAAGATGTTGCCTCTCGCAGAGATTAGCTGCCACATCTCAGGTTTTCTGGCATCCAGCGGCACACCTGTGCTGCTGTGCACATGATGGCAGGGAAGGTAGCTCTAGGACTGGCCTTTGGCTTTCTTCTGCCACTCAGCTTCAACGATCCGTTGGGGAATAGAGAGTGACACCTGCACGGCAGGAATGCCCAGACCATGGTCAAGCCACGATGCACTGCCACAGACGAGTCACGAGAATTCATGCAATAAACCAAGTACTCCGAACATTTATGAAGCGAACCGAGCAAGCACGAAGGTACACATAGGCAGGCAGCAACAGCAGGCATGCGATAGCAACTCTTGGACTGCGATCTTATCTCGTGTGATTGGCCTCCACATTCCTCGTGTCGATGCGCGCGCCTCCTGCCTCGTGCGGTATTGGCGGCTATCTCGTGCGCAGGGAGGCACAGGCACCAGGAGCTCGGACCAAGTCAGCCAAGCGTCGATCAAGAGCTCGAAGGCTTCCTGAACGCCCGGGTGGGACAGGAAGTCGTCCGCGTGGGCAGCAAAGACGTAGAGCTCGCCTCGCCCGCACAGACATGCACAAAGCAATTCAGTAGAGCCCAATTTCCAAAGTGACAGCTGCCAGGCCTTCGATCCTCAGGACCTGATGGTGTTCAGCCCAGGACCACTCAGGCCCGAATGCAAAGAGATGAAGAAGCTAATCGCTTTGAACGCCGTTCCGAGATAATGCTGCTTTGGAGCCTCCTTCCCTTGTAGGTCGTGATCCAACTTCACGGCATCCGGAAGGCTGCCTAGCCCCAAGAAGCCAAGAGGCAGGGGTAAAAGCAGGAATCCGGCTCAGCCCCCGCCATCCCCGGGCCTCCGGGGGACTGCTTCTCGACCTAGGCACCAAATCCACCAAGGACCACAACTGTCGAACACATGCATCGAGCAGGCCACTCAAGAAACAGATACTGAAGTACTAAGCAAAGCAAATCTGCTTAAGCTTCCCCTCTTCACCAGCTTCCCTGGCCAACACTGTCGCTGTTCGACCAAGCTGCTTCCTTCAACTTTTCAATGATCTCATCCATCTGCCGGTCGCCTTGGACGTTGCATCGATTTTTGCGTGCTCTGGTACAATGCACAACCTCGACCTCACACGTGTCTGAGCTGAAGACCACCGGTCTGTCCTTAGGGTTCCAGATGACATCCGACTGCAATCCCTGCAGCTTCCTAGTCAAATGCGGCCTATGAGAGGCCCCAGAGGGGTTCGCAAGATGGCAGATGAAAATATTGGGATCAAGTCCGACCTCTCGGCAAAGTGCAAAATGCGGCATCGTGCCAGGAAAACGTCATCGTAAACGCTTCTTAATCTTGACACATGCGTCGCGTCTTACCACCTTCAGGAAACATGATGGAGGGGCCTAGAGCTTGCGTGTGTCTCGACTTCTCTTCTCTTCTCTCGGGGTCGGATTTCGGAAGGATGTGGGTGCAAGGCCAGCGTCCGTACTGATCGACCGTCGCTTGCAGCTCCTCCTTCGTGCAAGGCTCCGGCTTCTTGTCCGAAGCTTCCTCAACAAGCAATGCTGTTTTCAAGATCCGGGAACCATGCTGTCAGCAGCTTGCAGAGACACGCCGTAGCAACAAGCAAGGAACAACACAACACCATCCAGCCGCCAGGCCTGATTGTTTGGTGCAGCGGCTGGCCCGCTTCGTGGTGAATCCTTTGGCGCTCCCTGGCCAATGAGCCAATACATTAGGACACAAAAATCGAATCAAAACACACATCCTGCATATCATGGGCACGTCCACCCTATTTCGAAGTTCTACTGTGACCCCCCTCTTCAGTATCAAAAGCGTAATTAACCTGCGGCAGATGTTGAAGCCGCACTCCATCGCATCCGCAACAGGCAGTCATCTGCCCATGACACACATCACACGCGCGCCCGAGACTCGGCAGCCTCGGAGGTCTGGTTCAACTCTGAGCCTTCGAGGGCTTCTTGTGCACCTGAGAAGCTCCGACTCGGGCAGGCTGCCGGCCGACTCCGGCGCTACTGTTTTGCTCAGCTTTCGTGGCTGATCAGCTCTCTTTCAATATTCTGGAGCTGTGGAAGAGTCGGACCATGACAACTTGATCAAGAATCGCAGGGTTTCACTGTACGATTATCCTGGTTTCCTGTAGTGATGTTTTACAACATGCATGATGCTGATCAGAAACTTGTGCATATTGCCAAAACGATCAGTCGAATGACGATGCACTAAGCACTGTTAGGACTCACCGTCCCGACGCAATGCACAGCTGCTGGCTTGCTATGCGTACCGTGCCACTGTGCTATCACTCTGAGTAGCATCCACCTTACTCTGGCTACCAGCAGTTGATCCTAATGTTGCGGGTGCCTATGACTGACCCGACTCGTATAGTGAAACTCGCGAACACCCGTGAAAGAACTCGAATGGAAACGTGGCTAATACTGCAAACGCCCTGGCATCGCTGTGAGTCGGAACGCGATCAACCTTTCCACTATTGTCCGTGATAGCCGTGGTTGAAATTTGTTGTACGATCGATGTTTCCAACATTACCAGTTACCAACCACAATAATGGTCATGGTAGATGTCATACGACGTTTCAGAAAGGCATGAACTGTATGTTCACCATGACAACTACGGCTACTGTCCTCACCGAGACTGACTTTGCGAAAATTACGCATCCTTGCTGGATCCCTCTAGCGTTTTTGAAACGATCAGCACCAGCACTACAAGCACCATCTGGAGGACAACTGCCACTGCAAATCCTAGGCACTGACGACGTCGATCTCATGCGGACGAAGACTAAGACAGGGGATGATTCAAGATGCTCACTTCTTATGCAATAAGTATGAACGTAGTAGTAGTAGTAGTAGTAGTAGTAGTAGTAGCAGCAGCAGCAGTAGCAGTTGTAGTAG